CTGCTGGTTCTGATGCCAGGAAGCAGCAGCTGAAGACTGACCACAGTTTGCTGTCGACGGCCCTGGATTCACACTTACGTTGCCTCCGCATCGGCCCTTTCACCTCCAGCTTCTCCGCCCGCAACCTTGCCCTTGAGTGCCCACAGTAAGCCACACTGCTTGGTGAAGTAGAAGGTGACGTCGATGACGAGGAACAAGAGGATGATGATGGCGATGAGGATCCCAATAATGGCAGCAGTGGCCATCCCTTCTGTTTCTGAAAACAATCATGAGGTGGAGAATGTCAAGGAGTCTTATGCCAGTCAGCAATAGCAGGCTTGTTGCCCCAGCAAGGTGTCAACCCTCTAACCAAGAAAAACATGAGTTGGAAATTCAATATACCGTATTCGACGTAATAAGCGCCCCGTTCTTATAAGCGCCCATGGCAATATTTGCTAATATATTGGCCAGTGAACAATCCCAAATACCCCTTCCGAATGATCAATGTACACAAGACTTATTTATTCATGTATAATATGCACTCGTGTGTTATTTGCACCCTTAATTATTGGCAATTAAATTCTGAAAAATTATATCGTACATAAACATTTCAGGCTGTCAGCATAAATCACGAAATTTACAATAAAATAATATTCTAATAAGAGCCCCCTATTTCTAATTTTGAGAGCGCCCTGGGCGCTTATTACGTCAAATACGGTAACTGACTTTTATGAGAAGCATAGAATGAATTTTCATTTTGTGATCAACATGAAAAAGATTCAGAGTCTTATAAAGATCTGCAGATTTAGGATATTTGAAGGTCTTGTGATGGCAGAGACACTACTAGACCCGCCGATTGTCTCACTTACCTTAGACAGGTGCATGGACAATTATGTTGAGGAAAGAAATAGGGTTTCCATATTTCACAATATAATGTATCAATATGAATGTAATTAAATGATATTGATATGTTTCAACGTGTCACAAATCTTTAACCTTTTGTATTTTGCTGTGAGATGTCACAGGTGTGGGATACACCAGGTGTATAACAAGACCTACCAATGGAGCTGTTGTTGTTTGTTTGCTTGTTTGTTGTTTAGCGCCACACTCAGCAATATTCCAGCTATATTACGGCAGTCTCTAAATAATCAAATCTGGACCAGACAATCCACTGATTGACATCATGAGCATCGATCCACGCAATTTGGATACGAAGACATGCATCAACCAAGTCAGTGAGCCTGACCACCCGATCCCGTTAGTCGCCTTATGCGACAAGCGGAGTCACTTTTTACGACAAGCATGGGTTGCTGAAGACCTATTCTCCCCCCGGATCTGCACGGGAGCTGAGAAAGTCAACATTGAAACAAGATACTGAAGGCAGGTACAAGCAAGTTAGTGAAACTGACAAAACACTAAGCATGATTCCAGAGTCCAGTTGTTGACCCAGGACCAACTGGGATTACAGCAAGAAGGTAAGTGGGACAGACACATACAAGTAAACGAACCATGCACTGAGCGAGTGAGTGTGTGATATGAGAGCTATAGCACAAGTGAGTGAGAGTGTGATATGAGAGCTATAGCACAAGTGAGTGAGTGCGTGATATGAGAGCTATAACACAAGTGAGTGAGTGTGTGATATGAGAGCTATACCTGAAGTTAGTGTGTGATATGAGAGTTATAACACAAGTGAGTGAGTTAGTGATATAAGAGCTATAACACAAGTGAGTGCGTGAGAGAGTGAGAGTGAGAGTGAGAGTGAGAGTGAGAGTGTGGCATTGCAACTTTAGAATATCAAGGAAGCGCGAAAGGGTGTGTCATGACAGCTTAGCACATCAAAATGAAAGTGTCATATGAGAGTTACGGCACATCAAGGAAGCGCGAAAGGGTGTGTCATGACAGCTCAGCACATCAAAGTGAAAGTGTCATATGAGAGTTACGGCACACCAGTGAAGGAAGAACTGGTGTTACATGACAGTTACTGCACATCATGAAGGAAGAAAGGTTGTTACATGACAGATATTGCACATCAAGGAAGCGCGAAAGGGTGTTACATGACAGTTACTGCACATCAATGAAGTAAGAAAGGTTGTTACATGACAGATATTGCACATCAAGGAAGCGCGAAAGGGTGTTACATGACAGTTACTGCACATCAATGAAGTAAGAAAGGTTGTTATTGCACATCTAGACAAGAGGCAGATTCCAAGTAAACTTTTCCAAGCTCTCTTCAACTTGGTTCATATATATCAATATCTACTACATAACAATGGAGAGGTAGTTGTTTCCATCTAAAATCAACAGCAGCTATAATTTCTGTTGCACGTTATTGACAATAGAAGATCTCCTAGGCCCCACTGAACGTCCTGGACGAACACACCAAGTACCAAGTGTAAGAAGGCACAATTGGGGGACCAAACTAAACCCTGTACATGCAGAACATGGAATCCAACAGCTATGTACGCTTAAACAGGTGGTTGATGGTATGAGCATCAAATAAAACCTTCAGAGTACAAGTGAGTCAGTCAGGATTAACACTTTGAGGTTTTTCAGTTAAAACTGGTGTCGTCAGCTTTATTTTTCAGGAAAGCAAAAATAAAAGCATTTTTGTCACAAAAACGTGTGGGCATGGGTTAAACCGTGTGGGCAAAGATTAAACCGTGTGGGCATGGGTTAAACCAAGGCTCATAACTGGAGTGATCCCAGGATTCAAACACAACATCTGCAGATCCAATCATTGCCACTTCAACAGTGATGCCTTCTACAGGAGCATGAGTTTATCAACAATCGTGCCAATCAATCATACTTGAGTCATGTTCGAGTCTGCTAAACTAACAATGGCTTCAAACCTTTGTGTAAAGGCTCAGTAATTACTGAGCAAGTATTGTACGAGTACTCAGTAAGTACTTGTGAGAGTACCCAGTAAGTACTTGTGAGAGTACCCTGTAAGTACTTGTGAGAGTACCCAGTAAGTACTTGTGAGAGTACCCAGCAAGTACTTGTGAGAGCACCCAGTAAGTACTTGTGAGAGTACCCAGTAAGTACTTGTGAGAGTACCCAGTAAGTACTTGTGAGAGCACCCAGCAAGTACTTGTGAGAGCACCCAGCAAGTACTTGTGAGAGTACCCAGTAAGTACTTGTGAGAGTACTCAGTAAGTACTTGTGAGAGTACTCAGTAAGTACTTGTGAGAGTACCCAGTAAGTACTTGTGAGAGTACCCTGTAAGTACTTGTGAGAGTACCTAGTAAGTACTTGTGAGAGCACCCAGTAAGTACTTGTGAGAGTACTCAGTAAGTACTTGTGAGAGCACCCAGTAAGTACTTGTGAGAGTACCCAGTAAGTACTTGTGAGAGTACTCAGTAAGTACTTGTGAGAGTACCCAGTAAGTACTTGTGAGAGTACCCAGTAAGTACTTGTGAGTACCCAGTAAGTACTTGTGAGAGTACCCAGTAAGTACTTGTGAGAGTACCCAGTAAGTACTTGTGAGTACCCAGTAAGTACTTGTGAGAGTACCCAGTAAGTACTTGTGAGAGCACCCAGTAAGTACTTGTGAGAGTACCCAGTAAGTACTTGTGAGAGGACCCAGTAAGTACTTGTGAGAGGACCCAGTAAGTACTTGTGAGAGGACCCAGTAAGTACTTGTGAGAGTACCCAGTAAGTACTTGTGAGAGCATCCAGTAAGTTATCATGGTATAACATTTATACTAAGTTATCCTATAATAATTAGAATTAATCAAGTGCTTTTATGAGTTATCATGGTGTAATATTTATACATAGTTTATGCCGCTGTGGTTCTCCATTGGGATGATATACATCAATCATTGTTTATGTCACTGTGGTTCTTGATTGGGATCATATACATAAATCATTGTTTATGCAGCTGTGGTTCTTGATTGGGATGATATACATAAATCATTGTTTATGACGCTGTTGTTCTCCATTGGGGTGATACACATAAATCATTGTTTATGCTGCTGTGGTTCTCCATTGGGGTGATACACATAAATCATTGTTTATGCTGCTGTGGTTCTCCATTGGGGTGATATACATAAATCATTGTTTATGACGCTGTTGTTCTCCATTGGGGTGATACACATAAATCATTGTTTATGCCGCTGTGGTTCTCCATTGGGATGATATACATAAATCATTGTTTATGACGCTGTTGTTCTCCATTGGGGTGATACACATAAATCATTGTTTATACCGCTGTGGTTCTCCATTGGGATGATATACATAAATCATTGTTTATACCGCTGTGGTTCTCCATTGGGATGATATACATAAATCCTTGTTTATGCCGCTGTGGTTCTCTATGGTGCCCAGTTATGTTGATAGACGTGTTGTTATCATAATAGCATGTTTATGCCACTGTGGTTGTCAGTTGGGTTGATATAAAGAATTCTTCCTTAAAAGTAGCCTACACAGAGAAATGACAAATTGATTCTTCTTTGAAATAACTCTTTATCAAGAGAGTGAGTGAGTGAGTTTACGCCGCTTTTAACAGTATTCCAGTTATATCACGGCGTGTCAGCTTAATGTGGGAGGAAAGACTGAAGTGATGCAGGTCTCAGAAGTTTACCACTTTGGTGAAACCCATGAGAAGGGGTGCAGTGCAAACAAATTAGAAACATATTTGGGAGAATGGTGATTTGAACCCACATTCACAGGTATTTTGCGTGTCCAATGGACGCAACTCTGCACTGCCTTAGACGACTGGGCTGCCTGAGCCCCCTACTACACTAAAGAAATACATATCTAAAATTAGATCAACAGTTAACTGCACAAGAAGAAATTCAGGCAACTGTCTGGCAGACAAGATGTGCTGGGACTTATTCTAAACAATCATTGTGGCCTGGCAACACAGTTTGTTCCAGGGGAGATAATTTGTGGTTTCTATGTAGTTACCTCCCCTTGGCTATGACACTTTTTCCATTCTTTCTTCGATGCCACAGATCGGACATAATTCAGACGGACAAGTAAACTCCTCAGATGTAAATAACGACCATCCAAAGCAGGAATAATAATAAAATTTTTATTCAACTCATTACTAAATGGAAAATAAACAAACATGAAAATGTTAAATTACAAGTGAATTATGACAGAGAAAACTACATCGAAACATTCAACAGACATTCAACAAACATTGATCATAGAGAACTAGCTAGTTCATCAGCCTCGCATTACAGTACACTAAAATACATACTGAGTAAACTAAATGAGTGACTTTAGAAGCTCAGCATCTGAAAAGGCATATTTCTAGTAATTTGATAATTACAGAAGATCAACTGATGAACCGTGGACTACGACAGATGCCAATTCCGAATACAACATGCTGACAAGGTGAAAGTGCGGACTTGGAACATCTAGGTAGTGAAACTGTTTGGCGTAGACAATATGTAGATAGATAGATATATATATGCATACAATTGACAAGAGACACTTGAATAGTGTGTTCCGTGTAACGCACAACAGCCTGATGGAGTTTATACTGCCACAAACTCAAGCCACATCTAATACCTTGCTGTTTCGACAACACAACTTGAAGATACCATGGGAAACTCGGGACAACGTCTACGGTGGTAGGGTCATGAATCACAACATTTCTTCAGATGCTTAAATGATTTAAGTGTTTCCAAGATCAATCAAAGTTTGTTATTCTAAGCATGAAGATTAGAGTTGATTTGGATATGAGCGATGTTCCGGGATGACGATGGGGACTAAGGATGATGCTACGGATGAACCATGGCGATGTGAACAATGAGTCTAATGAGGTCAGACACTGTCTATTTGCAAAATCTCGACTTCAAATGTATGTCTAAATAAACCAAACGGCAAGCAGCAATTAATACGAAAACTATAGCACTTTATCTACATTGTAGATAACTGTCCATTTGTCAACAAACAAAATGATTTCTAGTCGAAATTTCGGGACTATTTAGATAGTATTGTGGCTTTGGTCTGTACAGACGCCACTGCCCAACTTCTGCTGTAAGCCTTGTTGATGGTTGTGCAGGCATACAGACAGCTTTGTGGAGCAATAATTCAAGTGGACAACACACTCTGAAAAGTTGTTGTCCGAGTTCAAGGTGTGACTGACAAGAAAAAGTACAGAAACATTTGGGGTTCTATTTTCTTCCAGAAAACCAAAGTTCTTTGTCTGAGACACACACAACGACTTGATTTCCGGTTTTGTGCAGGTTTTGTGCTCTGTAACCCACTGACAAAGGACAAACGAAAGGAACCTAATATGTGATTGCACGTCTTGCATAGTGGTGGAGAGAGAAGGTGAAGGACACACAAGACAGAGGCTACGACGGAAGGGGAGATAACCACCAACTAGAGAAATGTACACTCGGAGCTACAGTCAACTGTACAGAAACACTGTGTGTAGAATCGGACAGAAACAACGTAACACACTGTATGGTGAATCCACAATGAGGCTCCGGTGAGCAGCCACAGAGAAAGGTTCCGGAGCCCTGAGTATTTGAAGGGAAAGAAGCAGCAGACTCCAGACTGGGACACAAAATATTATAAACTGGTTACCATGGTAACATGATGACTTGTCTCAGCAGTGAGTCATGTAGCAATAACAACAGTAACTGGAAATCGAGGATGTCGACAGGTGCAGCTGTTTCCCAATAGCCACCCAAGGATCATCTCTAACTCTTAACAGACTAATCTTAACAAGGCACCCCCCCCCCCCTCCCCCCCAAGTTTAACTATTGATGACTCTCTCCACTGGTTCAACTATTGAGCAACCATTTTCCCCCTAGGTTCAACGACTGATCAACCATTTTCCCCTTACTTTCAATTACTGATCAACCAATTTTCCCCTTAGGTTCAACTATTGATCAACCACTTTCCCTTTAGGTTCAATTACTGATCAACCATTTTCCCCCTTAGGTTCAACGACTGATCAACCATTTTCCCCTCAGGTTCAAATACTGATCAACCATTTCCCCTCAGGTTCAACTACTGATCAACCACTTTCCCTTTAGGTTCAACTACTGATCAACCATTTCCCCTCAGGTTCAACTACTGATCAACCACTTTCCCCTCAGGTTCAACTACTGATCAACCATTTTCCCCTAGGTTCAATTACTGATCAACCACTTTCCCTTTAGGTTCAACTACTGATCAACCACTTTCCCCTCAGGTTCAACTACTGATCAACCATTTTCCCCTAGGTTCAATTACTGATCAACCACTTTCCCTTTAGGTTCAACTACTGATCAACCACTTTCCCCTAGGTTCAACTGCTGATCAACCACTTTCCCCTAGGTTCAACTGCTGATCAACCATTTTCCCCTCAGGTTCAACTACTGATCAACCACTTCCCCTTTAGGTTCAACTGCTGATCAACCATTTTCCCCTCAGGTTCAACTACTGATCAACCACTTTCCCTTTAGGTTCAACAGCTGATCAACCACTTTCCCTTTAGGTTCAACTGCTGATCAACCACTTTCCCTTTAGGTTCAACTACTGATCAACCACTTTCCCTTTAGGTTCAACTGCTGATCAACCACTTTCCCTTTAGGTTCAACTACTGATCAACCATTTTCCCCTAAGGGTCAACTACTGATCAACCATTTTCCCCTAAGGTTCAACTACTGATCAACCACTTTCCCCTAGGTTCAACTGCTGATCAACCACTTTCCCCTAGGTTCAACGACTGATCAACCATTTTCCCCTAAGGTTCAACTACTGATCAACCATTTTCCCCTAGGTTCAACGACTGATCAACCACTTTCCCCTCAGGTTCAACTACTGATCAACCACTTTCCCTTTAGGTTCAATTACTGATAAACCACTTTCCCCTTAGGTTCAACTACTGATCAACCACTTTCCCCTTAGGTTCAACTACTGATCAACAACTTTCCCCTTAGGTTCAACTACTGATCAACCATTTCCCCTCAGGTTCAACTACTGATCAACCATTTCCCCTCAGGTTCAACTACTGATCAACCATTTTCCCCTAGGTTCAACGACTGATCAACCACTTTCCCCTTAGGTTCAACTACTGATCGACAACTATATTCTGCAGAACCATTGACAGCGTGGCCTGGTATGCTCTTCATCAGCTGACCTGCACTTAGAGGAAGAAACGGCACAGACTACAAGACAGACATGAAACCAGGATTTCAGAACCAAGAATTGATCCTACAAGTCCGAAAGAACGGAACATGAGGTGTGAATGTTTCCCTGTGTGGCCCCTCGTGGGCCTGGTGAGGCAAGAGCTCCATGATGGTGAAACTGTCCCATGTTGACTGTCAACCTGGGACAAATCCAAGGGCTATATCTAGTGTTGTCCACAACTTGATGTTAATACTGAATATTATCCGAGGAGTAGAAACAATTTTTTACAAGAATGTCAACATTATTGTAAAACAAGCCTGACAAAGAACCAGATACAATTCCAACTATAATCATTTTCGTTCATACTGCGGTAACATCAGTACTTCAAAGAAGGTATTTTTTTTTTAAAAAAACATCACACACCATGATTTTTTCATTAAATAAAGAATGAAGCTCTTCAAGAATTTAAATGTTCAATTTCTGATCAAACCAACTAAAGAAAAATGTTCACTGGTTGATCAAACCAACCTTGAATTTTCTGATCCAATCAAGTAAAGACAAATGTTCACTGTTGGATCAAATTAACAGAGACAAATGTTCACTTTCTGATCAAACCAACTAAAGACAAATGTTCACTGGTGGATCAAACCAACTAAAGACAAATGTTCACTGATTGATCAAACCAACTAAAGACAAATGTTCACTTTCTGATCAAACCAAGTAAAGACAAATGTTCACTTTCTGATCAAACCAACTAAAGACAAATGTTCACTGGTTGATCAAACCAACTCAAGACCAATGTTCACTTTCTGATCAAACCAACTAAAGACAAATGTTCACTTTCTGATCAAACCAACTAAAGACAAATGTTCACTTTCTGATCAAACCAACTAAAGACAAATGTTCACTGGTTGATCAAACCAACCTTTAATTTTCTGATCCAATCAAGTAAAAGCGAATGTTGACCGATTGATCAAACCAACTAAAGACAAATGTTCACTGATTGATCAAACCAACTCAAGACCAATGTTCACTTTCTGATCAAACCAACTAAAGACAAATGTTCACTTTCTGATCAAACCAACTAAAGACAAATGTTCACTGGTTGATCAAACCAACCTTTAATTTTCTGATCCAATCAAGTAAAAGCGAATGTTGACCGATTGATCAAACCAACTAAAGACAAATGTTCACTGATTGATCAAACCAACTAAAGACAAATGTTCACTTTCTGATCAAACCAACTAAAGACAAATGTTCACTTTCTGATCAAACCAACTAAAGACAAATGTTCACTTTCTGATCAAACCAACTAAAGACAAATGTTCACTGGTTGATCAAACCAACCTTGAATTTTCTGATCCAATCAAGTAAAAGCGAATGTTGACCGATTGATCAAACCAACTAAAGACGAATGTCTGCCAGCCGGTTCCTCCTCCCCATCGGGTGGAGATGTCAGCAGCACTACAGTGATTACGTCTAACAAGCTACTGATAAATACATCATGAAAATATTCCCCGTCTGGCATATGGACTAAGCGTATGGAATGTAATGCCAAACTATGACACTAGCTAAATATCAAAATAACTACACAGCCAGGTGGCCAGGCATTGTTTTTACAATACTGCTTCAACGTTACAGCTTTCCATGTACAGAACTAGTGACAGATCAGTGCAGATTGACGTATCAATACATTCCAGCTGATACTGAAACATTTATACACTATAATATACAGAAATTCCAAATTGAGTCAAGCCTGAATGTTTAACTATAATCAGCGTTCGAAATACCTGCCTGCCCGACCGTTCGAGACGGGCTGATTTCAACTCGGGCTGCCAGATTTTCAAATCCCCCTGCCCGACGGTCGGGTTATATTTCATAGGTGAAAATATTCTAAATATTTCCCGATGATAAGCATTAATTCACATGTAAAGATGAATGATAAAATGTAACCAAATTGAAACCCCGTTAGCTTTTAGACAACCTAACATTTAGCGATGCGCTTTTGCTACAAGCAATCAGTTTTCATATTTGTAATTAAATTATCCTGAGAAACATATGATTATAGTGGGCAGGCAGGTTTTGGTCAGGGCTGGCAAGTATTTCAGCTCGCCAGTCCTGTGGTCTGGCTGAAATTTTTGGGAGTTTCATACGCTGCTATAATACCTGATTCCTGAACAATAAAGATTAAAGGTTGCTGGGAGATGGTGAAGTTGGTTAATAATATATTATATTGAGGGAAATCTACTACCAAAAACAAATCTCGTTACCATGGAAACTCTAAATGCATCTCATTACCTGTCAGAATATTGTTGTAATAATACACTAAATGTTAATTGACATTCTTCAGTCGATATATCAACACGGGAACCTCCCACAACGACAGCCCTCAGTGTCAAGAAACTCTCAATAATGCAGCCGCCCTAGTCCAAAGACAGGGTACACTTTGCAGTTTTCTTATGAAAGTTTCCAATAGACGATCTGAATAGTCTTAAGTAGCACACAGTCACATCTGAATCGTTTGTCGTAAGACCAACAGCTTCCATGAAGCCAAACTTTGTCATTCTCAATACATCTTCAAACAAAAAAGCTATCTTCGGCAAAATATTTCAGATTAAAATATCTTGTAATATTTTCTCGGACCTGATTTTGAGAATACCACAACCTTCAAGATTATAAAGCATTTATTGACTGTAAAAAGATAAAATAAAGAAAATAATTAAGTATTGAACAATGGTGACCTTTCAAGTAGAGTTAATAAATCAAGAGAAATTATTTTGTCCATATACAAGCTAACAGTGTTGTCTAATTTGGTGAGCTTCATGTGTAGACCGTTGTTTTGAATAAATATTCTCAATTTGACAACATTCCCCCTCAGTTTCACTGATGGTTACACAACACACAAGACGACTTATCCCCAAACATTGTCCTCCCCAATGACACGATCTCACCAAAATACACACACCGTCACGGTTTAACCATGATACATACTTGTAAATATTCAACACTCAAACAAAACATTGTTGATAATTAAATTATGAAAAGAATATTTATCAGCAAATATTCAACACTGAACCTTAACATCTCAGAGGTGTGATCGAAACTGGTTACAAATGTGACTTGATCTAGCACCAAGTACTCAACACTGATACATCCAAGAGCTTTTGATATTTGCGTTTAAAACCAATGACATCATATATGGCACGAAACGAGTACCCGTCGCCGTAGTCATTCCACATCAACATTCAGAGGCCGACAATGAAAAATACTTGCTACACACACTGATCCGACTGCAGTAAGCGTAACATACATACCACTTAAGGTGACTAGGCTGTTGAGGGTCGTTACAGGTTGATTAACTTTATTCATTACAATACGAGTTGCTAGATGGACATGTACCTGTGTCAGCGGCAAGGTGGAGGTTGATGGACAAGGACCCACTCGGCATCCACTTCAATTGGATTGAAATAGATGCCAAAGGTTTGAGTATTGGAACAAGTGGAGCCGATATTTGAACCAGGCCTTCCCTTCACTGCTGACACAGGTAGTTACAAAGCTGTCAGAGCTAAACTGTCAAGCACTGAGTAAAGGGCACACATTGTAAATCTGTGGATGTCTTTTCACACTGCACGTTGTGCCATTATTGGAATGATTGATAGATAGATAGGGAGCAGGTGCACGATGTTCCAGTATCTCCGGCTCAAAGATAATCTTGATGTGCACCTCGCGTTCACTCTTTCATTCGTAGTTGCCCTGCCTATGACGGAGTGGGGAGGCGGCCGTGACGTCGCCATTATCAGCATACAGCCAGACTACGTGCTAGAAGGGCAGAGGACACAACCACCAGGGATGACAGGCTCACGTGCATTGAGATTGCGTTGTCGGTCACGGGAACTGAAAGAGCCAAATAAAAAACAGGTGAGATGCAGCTCGGAATAGTGCGGTCCCACCTAGGGGTGGTGGGTGTGGCAGGGTTGGTAGGGGAAGGGGTGTGGCACTGCATCCCACCTAGGGGAAAGCAGGTGAAGCCATGGCGCCGACGTCCCATTCAGGCAATGGGGAGAGCAACATGAATTATCCGTGGCTCTGTGGTCTCAAACGGGGGAATCGACAGGGCAGACTGACACGGCTTACCCGTGAGGCAGGTGGGTGTGGCATTATGGTCCTTCAAGGAAGGGGGGTGGGAGAGTGGCATGACTTACCAAGGTGGAACAAGTGGGCGTGGCACTTTGGACTTACCAAGGTGGAACAAGTGGGCGTGGCACTTTGGACTAACCAAGGTGGAACAAGTGGGCATGGCACTTTGGACTTACCAAGGTGGAACAAGTGGGCGTGGCACCTTATTCCCATCCTGGTGGGGGGAGGTGACACGACTTACCCAGGGTGGGGGAAGTGGGTGTGGCACCTTGGTCCCTACGAGGGGGATGGTCAGTGGGAAAGTGGCATGACTTGCCCAGGGGTAAGGAACGGGGGACCAATTGGACGTGGCAGTAAGTCAGTTTGGTGGTTCTCAAGAGCTGGGGTGCAGCAATTGGAACTAGGTGCTGGGGGGGGGGGAGATTGTGCAGTTTCAGCAAGAAGACAGGGAAGGGTGTAAGCTGGAAAATGGTGAATGTATGGAAAACAAAAATTCAAGCAATAAATAAAGGTCTTGCAGTTAGTGAGCATTAAACATTATTCATGTTAATTAGTATGTGCTGGGGGATATTGTGTGATGTCTTTACTTAAATTTTGTCAGCCTTACAAATTTAGCCATCATTTGAATTGAGTGCAAATTATCACTTTGTTTTAATTTGTCTGTTGACTAATAAATGTGTACCTGTGCTACTGTGCTATTATCATGTCACTATCACCATTTGTGTATGATTTCCATAGCAACCATCACTGAAAAACAGCCTACCTGAGACGACCCTCATCTCATCCTTATCTGTGTGGGGCACTTGTAGTGATAGGCACAAAAGCTGTCTTCTGGTTTCAAAAGACATTTTGAACACTGCACAAGGCACAATTACTGATCACCAAAGAAAGATTATAATATACTGAACCAAAAATGTTTGGAATCATGAATATTTTGGGGATATTTTTACGAAATTTGTCTTTTCACTACAAAAACAAAAATCTCCTTTAAAACATCCATGATTCCTTGCTCCTTTTGTTCAGTATATGGTGTCGATCAGTAGAGTGAGTGAGTATGGTTTTACGCCGCTTTTAGCAATATTCCAGCAATATCACGGCAGGGGACACCAGAAATGGGCTTCACGTATTGTACCCATGTCGGGAATCGAACCCGGGTCTTCGGCGTGACGAGCGAACGCTTTAACCACTAGGCTACCCGACCACCCTGTTGATCAGCAGAACTATCTAAGTATTTCAGCACACATTAGGCAAACAAATTTGGAATAAAACAGCTGTTTTTTGTTTTTTTTAATGTTCTTGTTTTCTCAAACTCATGGGTCTCTTAATAGTTCATTTATTGCAAGTGGACAAAACAGTAAGTTCATTGTTTGTTGGTCAGGTTGTCAGCGGCACAAAAGTCACCCCAGCAACGCAATAACATCTGGATCTGTAATAATGTCACTCGGCAAACTTTCATTCTAATTTGGGAATGTCTACTGATTTTTTTTACTCCAGGGTTTCTATTTTGATGGGTTTTTCGACTTTTCATTGGGTTACCAATACTTTTTCACTCATCTATTCATCACTCTATTGGGTTTTCCAAAAAATAAGTGAACATTTTAAGATTTTTAAAAATTGAAATAATGTTTCAGATGTATATAACTGTTCTAAGTATATAGGCTTGACTCGGAAAGTAAAATAGCTGGTAATTGTGTTTCAGAAATTAGCTCCTTTGTACGCATGCTGAAAAATCTTCATTGGGTACTTACAGTGATGTTTTTTTTAAATTGAATTTTTCATTTAATGCATGCGTTTCTGTATGCAAGTTAATTGAAAGTAATTGGGTTTTGAATATTTTTCGAGGGTATTTTACGCAAATACGCTGCTTATCTGTAGCTCTGACCCAAGGTTCATGTGACATGCATCTCACACCCAAATTCCACCATACTTCAGTCACTTATGCATGTGACATTTACTTATGAAAATCAGCAGAATAAAATGGAGGACTAGTAATCTTGAGTCCTTGTTTTTATCAACTTGCGTATTATGACTTACGGGTAGAAATGACTTACCACTTGTTTTGTTTGTTTGTTTGTTTGCTGTTTAACGCAACACTTAGCATTATTCCAGCTATGTGACGGCGGTCTGTAAATAATCAAGTCTGGACCAGTCAATCCAGTGATCGACATCATGAGCATCGATCCACGCAATTGGGATACGATGACATGCAGGAACCAAGTCAATAACTTAGGAGGAGTGTTTAGTTGACTGGCGTAGTGCTCTAAATTTAACTACGAAATAGTTTTCAGAACTTGACATAAAGTATATTATAAATATTTTAAGCCTCATTGTGTTTGCAAGGTTAATATGTGTATATACTACTCAACTTCTGACAGGGATATTTATGCTGTCCAGGGCCCAGTTGCACAAAGCCATCTTAGCGCTGTGACCATCGTAAGCCAATGTTAAAGTATGGGAATTACGGTCATCTTAGCGCTAAGATCACTTTGTGCAAGTGGACACTTTTTTTAATGTGACTGATTTCTGTCCGATGTTGGCACACAAATAGTATTCAATTTACTGCCAATTCCAAGTGAGTGAGTGAGTGAGTTGGGTTTAACGCCGCTTTTAACAGTATTCCAGTTATATCACTGTGTGTCAGCTTAATATGGGAGGAAAGCTCAAAGTGATGCAGGTCTCAGACGTTTACCACTTTGGTGAAACCCACGAGCATGGGCATGGTGCTGACAAACCTAGAAACAATCGGGGTGAACCGGGATTCGAACCCACAATCAAAGGTTTCTGACATGTCCAAGGGATGCAACTTTGCACAGCGAATTGCGGCACCTTAGACAACTGGGCCACCCATGCCCCCACTTATTCCAAGAGCAGCTTCATGTTAAGTAAATGAATCATAAGTTCACAATTCAAGTTTTGTAACAGTCTGAAATATCTCAGTATGCCTAACAAATGTGGAGTAGTATGTGTCATGATCGTGTTCCCATTTTCAAGCGGCATAAGAACCAGATTGTTCTCTAGTTGTGTGTGCAAGGAGAGAGAGAGAGAGTGCTTCATGGTGGTTGGTGTGTGCTCTTTGCAGACAGACTGAGGGCACGGTGATGATGATTGAGGGGGAGAGGGGGAGAGGGGAGGGGGGGAGAGGGGAGGGGGGGAGAGGGGGAGAGGGAGCTGTCCCGTGCAACGCCGTCGCTGCTTTGGGAAAAACCTGACACGAGGAGAGAGACACGGACATGATGTGGTTAGGCTGATGGCAAGTTGGTAGGGAAGCAAAACATTTATTATTGTGTTTCACAAGGTAAAAAACTAAAAAACCAAACAACTAATTTTGGATTTTTTTCTTTTTCTTTCTTTAAAAAAAGCAACTGTGAGTGTAAATTTTCAAAAAAATGACAAAAACTGATTCCTTAAAATGTGAATGCAAGGAGGTGATGTTAGCTGATGATGACAACGATGAGAATGAAGATTATGGTCGACAACATTCCAAGCAGGGGCATGCAGTTGCAGAACTAAGTGAACTAAATTACTTTTTAAAGAACAAAATCGGCACTCAACTAAAGAAAAACCATGATCATGCAGTGATAAATGTGCTCAGCATCCTCATGCATCTCCTGGGTGTCAAAACTGTGCATCTAGCAACACCCTCACATCCCCCTGGACTTGGTGTCAAAACTGTGCATCTAGCAACACCCTCACATCCCCCTGGACTTGGTGTCAAAACTGTGCATCTAGCAACACCAATACATCCCCCTGGACTTGGTGACACAACTGTGCATCTAGCAACACCCTTACATCCCCCTGGACTTGGTGACACAACTGTGCATCCAGCAACACCCTCACATCCCCCTGGACTTGGTGTCAAAACTGTGCATCTAGCAACACCCTCACATCCTGGACTGGGTGACACAACTGTGCATCTAGCAACACCCTTACATCCCCCTGGACTTGGTGTCAAAACTGTGCATCTAGCAACACCCTAACATCCTCCTGGACTTGGTGACAGAACTGTGCATCTAGCAACACCCTCACATCCCCCTGGACTGGGTGACACAACTGTGCATCTAGCAACACCCTTACATCCCCCTGGACTTGGTGTCAAAACTGTGCATCTAGCAACACCCTCACATCCCCCTGGACTTGGTGACACAACTGTGCATCTAGCAACACCCATATATCTTCCTGGACTTGGTGACAGAACTGTGCATCCAGCAACACCCTCACATCCCCCTGGACTTGGTGACACAACTGTGCATCTAGCAACACCCATATATCTTCCTGGACTTGGTGACAGAACTGTGCATCTAGCAACATCCATACATCCCCCTGGACTTGGTGACACAACTGTGCATCTAGCAACACCCATACATCTTCCTGGACTTGGTGACACAACTGTGCATCTAGCAACATCCATACATCCCCCTGGACTTGGTGACAGAACTGTGCATCTAGGAACACCCTCACATCCCCCTGGACTTGGTGTCAAAACTGTGCATCTAGCAGCACCCATACATCTCCCTGGACTTGGTGTCAAAACTGTGCATCTAGCAACACCCATACATCCCCCTGGACTTGGTGACAAAACTGTGCATCTAGCAACACCCTCACATCCCCCTGGACTTGGTGACAGAACTGTGCATCCAGCAACACCCTCACATCCCCCTGGACTTGGTGTCAAAACTGTGCATCTAGCAACACCCATATATCTTCCTGGACTTGGTGTCAAAACTGTGCATCTAACAACACCTTTACATCCTCCTGGA